AAAAATTCAATGGATTGCTTGGTGCCACTTCAGGTTTTCAAAAGAATGGTATGAAGTTTTGAAATCAACCTTAAAATTGCTTCTATATATTTTTGAAATATTTTCACCTAAATATTCCTGACTATAACAAAAGTCAACCACTGAACACCGTCCGGAAAAAAGTTGGACACTTAAACAGTATGTCACCAAAATTATTAAAATTATTTAAATAATTCACACTTTAACTCTTTGCTGTACACTAAAATTATCAAGCAAAACAAAACATGCTGTGCAGTCTGATTACCTTCCCATCCTGATGTTTTGTAATATGTCAACAAATTTTTTATCAGACTGTCTTCTGACCTCAGTCAACTCATGTGTCAAACCGATCGCCTTTCTCCATGCTCTGGACTGGAAACAAATGAATATTACATACTCACAAATTTTAAAGGCAGTTTTAATATGAATTAAATTAGGTTGTTGTTCCACTAAATGTAGTACCTTAGCATTTATTTTAAAGGATGATGTCATAGCAATACCCGCACCCCCTTCATGTGATTTCTCTGAAATTTCTATCAATCCTCTAAATCCAACATTTGGATGACATGAAATATAAGACTGACAGTATTGGAGTGTCAGTAGTTTTATAAACATACCTGAAATGCAAACTTTCTTTTCTCTTTTCCTTTGGTGACAGGAGGCAGCTGTAAGAAATCGCCACAAGCTATCACCTGCATTCCCCCAAATGGATCATTGTTCTTTCTCACTACCCTATAGTGATGAAATAACATGCGAGACACAATGCATATTTGAAGAACATACATGTACATGTTGTCCTTATTAACTCATGTATTTTGATTTCAATATTTAGTTTTTTATTTACAGAAAATAGAAACATGAAATCAATAAACGTTGTGAAGGGTTTGGTTATTTTGTATTAACAATAATTTGTCAATATAACTCCTCACCTAGCACAAGTGTCCAGTTTATCAAAGAAGTCACCATCCACCATAGACACCTCATCAATTACAAGATGGCGGCACTTCCTCCAGTTCTGCGCCACAGCGGGTCTAGAGGCAAGTTCTACACATTGCTCTATAGTACCCCTCCCTGAGCCGATTCCTAGAATATTCCAACATTATTCATGTGGACTTTCAACATGATCATTTTTAGAGCTTTTAAGTGGTTTAGCTAATGTTGTCAACCTATTATTAATAGAGCTCAATACTTGTATGTTGTCAATAACTTGTATGGATCTGAGAACCTACCAGCAAAGGCATGCAGAGTTGTTCCTCCAATATGGCAGGCTGCTACTCCAGTACTTGCTGTGGCACTGGTGTGTTGGGGAGGGAGGGCACCTAGAATTAGAATATAACATTATCAATCTATACACTAGGAGACTTGAGTAGTTAGTAATTTGTTTGTTTAAATTTTTGACAATTTTAAATAGGTAGGTAAAATGACGAGTTTGCCCCTTCAGAGAATCCTGAGAGGACTGTGGAGGTGGTCACCTGAGAATTCTAATATCTTCTCCAATTGTCGATCATATGGACATGATGAGAAGTAATTTGCCACATTTTATGAAATCCAATTTCTGACTATCATCAAATAATAAAGAATTTCCAAGGTTTTTATGGTTATTGGTTTAAACCAAATCGTTCATGATATGGCATCCACTAAAATGAAACATTGTAAATCTCACCTATGATTCTCTTCATGAGGAATGATTTGCCAGTGCCTGCACTTCCGGTGAAGAACACACTCTGCCCTGTACGGATACTCTGCAATACCTTGGCTTGCTCCTTGCTCAGTTTCAGGGGGTTCATAACTCTCCCTGGGGATACAAGCTGCTTCCTGGCCATCTTCTGCACCTGTGGGATAACAATCATGTGATGTATTTTTAATAATAAATAGTGTCTACATTCATGTTGCCTACATTCATTTTGTTCCTTGCTTAGAAATTCATGAATGGTTTTGTTTAGTAATCAAGAGCCATTTTTAGTATGGTTTTGATTATTCACTGAACACCTGTCTTAGTGATCACCTGTGTCCAGTGAACACCTCTTCTCAACAAATACTCCTCTGACTTCTGTATAAAATCGCCTCTGTAGTGAAAACCTACATACAGTGAACACATTTTTGTGGCTCCATAGGTGTTCACTGTGAAAAGGTTTTATTATGTTCATAGGGTACAAATATTTGAAGTTAACATCATTCTTGTGCATATCTCCCCACAATAACAATAGAGAGTAAATAATGAATGATCATACCTTACTAGGCTGGTCTAGGTTCTCCTTATCTCCCATAGCTTCAAATCTCCTCTTCTTTCCTTTGGGCGTCACAAACTTTGACAATGCTTTCTCAGCTAACTGTGTTCTCTTCTTGTTGATAGTGTCAACATCTTTTAAGTTCAATGGACTTATTTGCTCGTAACTATGAGACATATCTGAGAAAAGTTTTTTTCGGTCACTTATAAATCCCTTTTGTTTAACACCCTCTAATTTTGCCACCAAAGTCTGAATGAATCGTCTGAGTTGGTCGGGTGGACTGTTGGAAAGCATCAATTGAACATTGTGCTCTGGAAGTTTTATAGTTGCCTTACCCTCTTTGGCAAACTTTTTATGAATTTGGACATCTTTAAGTTTAAATTTGCGATCTCTATCACCGATGATTACTCGTAGAACTACTTCTTTGAATTCATCACGACCTAGCTCAATGGTGATGTTTCTGTGTTGAGATTTTTTCAGTACGCCACCTGAGGATTGTAGGTGCTCTATGCTAACTGAGCATGTGACCTCACAGCCTTCTGATGACATTGTTATATAATGTAGAAGTTGTCAGGAGTATTTCACATACACTGAAAATCAACAAAAAACTAATGATAATTCATACAAGTACATGTCAAGAACATAACTCAGTTTTAAATGCAAGTTGGCAATTCAGAGATCAGCAAGCACTTGAATAAAGGTGAGATTATTCTATAAAACAGCTTATCCCACCCTAAGTGCTTTATATGATTGTATAATAGCATTGTATAACTGCAATATAAAACCAACACTCATCGTATACAACTCTTGAGAACGATATACAACTCCTGGATAGCGTATACAACTCCTGGGCAGCGTATACAACTCTTCGACTCGATATACAACTGCTGAATTTAGTTTTACCTTTTATTGATTAAAGATTAGGGTGGGATAATAAGATCATATAATGGTTGATTTTGTATATCGCTATACTCTCGTGAGTATATGATATATTCACGAGTGACCGAGTATAAACACGATATACAGAATCAACCATTATATAACCTCATATTACACATTTTGATAAGGACACATTGCAGATTCAAATAGAAAGGGTGATAGGGTTTTTGTAGTAAGCGTCCAGCATTGTCTTGACTCTTGAAGCTGTATATAACGTGTCACTATGGAGTCTTAAGTAGGTCAAATTTTAAAGAACACTGGGATGAACGTATGATCGCACTTAATGAAAATTTTTAATTACTTCAGGAAGATAAAATTTGAATATTCACAATTTATCTATTTTCTCTTTGGACTTTGATAATTATAAGCAAATATTTCATTCTATGGAGGGCAATACCTATCTTTTAATGATTTTTTGCAGTATGTATTGCCCACAGCCTGTAGGGCAAGATATTCAAAGCTCAATTCAGAGTCCTGTATAAAGCTATAGCATATTGTGCTTATGCTTCATGTTTAAAACACACATCTGCTATAAAATAATTTGCAATATTGATAATTGTATGGATATATTCTAAATACCAGTAGGAAAGTGACCATGAAAGCATTGTCAAAGTCTTATTTCTAGCACAGATGACAGGCTACTGTCCTCCCTACAAAAAAATTAGCCTTTTAGAAGACTTTAGCATTTGTTGATTTTTAAAATTTGGATGTTTGTTTCCAAATGTAAAGCCTTGCAACATACCCATTAATTCAGAAATGCAAAATTTCAGAATGTAAAATATATGTTTGCTCGAAAAGAAGTTCATTTTTTGACTCTAGTTATTTCTTAGGATATAGTTTGGCGTAGCAGGACGGTAGAAACAGTGGTATTCCTTGGGTTGAGCATGGAAATATGAGGTGGTAAGTAGAATGATCCTTCTATAATTTTCCTATTTTTTGTAGGGAGCTTTTCATTTTCTTCGATTCCATTGTATTTTTGTAGGGAGGAAAGTGACCTTCTTCTTCTATTATAATAACCATCTGTAATTTTTTGGATGGAGGAGAGTAGCTTTATAAAAGTCTCTCAATTTGTTGTATAAAAGTCTCGGCTTGATATAGATGTCAGAAATATTGCCTCAGACTGTAAAACAAAACAACCCAATTCTAATCATGGGTATGATAGGTGCAATCGTATTATGGCTATCGTTTTTCCAGGTTCCGACACCAATCGATGTCAGGTTCCTGAGATTTTAAGGGGGGGGGAGTCTAGACTAAGATACTCTAGTCTGATCACAGTCGTAGAGAATGTTCTTGCGAAAGGAGATTGGGATTGCAAATACATCTGTTATTGATATCTATCTCGTTCGAAGAACGTTTTAGACATCTGTGAGTCTGATACCGCCATTGCACGATTTGCATCCATGCCCTTAGTAAATTTTTATATTGCCTATTGCTAATATTTTGTTAGTTTACAACATCAGTGTCAAGATATAATAACAATGTATCACTATCAATATTCAATTCAAAATATTCAAAATTTTGTTTATTTTGTTCTCAAAATTATATAGAGCTAGAATAGACGATTCTAAGCAGATCAAAACTGGAAAACTAAATTCAGCTACATAGGTCAATACTATTACGTTATCCTTATGCAATCAAAATTTAATTTGACTAGTATCTTTAGATGCAATAAAAGAACACGCACCTGCTTGTGTGGCTATCACTTTTTAGACTTTTAAATTTCGAGCTTCCGGTTCCCTAAGCCAATCAAATTTGATTTTATGAATTGCTATAATTCTCGACCAATCGAAAAGTCGGATCCAAAACGATTCGGGAGGTCCTTGAAAACTTTGGTGTTTTCAGTAATATTCTTTATTCTTTGCCAAATCGTGTCTTTATGGTGTCCCAGTACAGTCAAAATCACGTATCTAGTTAATGACTGCGAAATTTCTATTATCATACAGGTAATTTTTTGTTTTACCTCGTTACAACACATGATGAATGGCACAAGATGAATTTTCATAAATATTTTTGAATAATCTAATTTTTTTGATGCACTTCCAGTTCCACTTGACCATATATATATGCATTTGACAGCAGTCGAGTTGACTTTTCCATTATAGAGTCTAACATTGCAGGCCGTCCAACTGTCTCGCAATTTGCGTATTTGTCACTCATTTGCTGGGAAATGGGAAGTCACGCCACTATTTTTTGCGTGACAGAATATGTTGTAATGACCTTTGATATCAAGTCGCTACTAAAGTTTCAGCTGTAGTGGCTAGCCCTTATGGGTCAGGGGTAGAGTGTCTGACTCAAGAGCAGAAAGTCCTGGGTTCGACTCCCGTATGGGGTATTGAGTTTAGCACATTCTCTTTCGAGTTTAGTACATTATCTGGCTTCCACTACAGCTCCCCCACGGACGTGCGCAAGGGTCCTTACTATGTCATGCAAATACGCATTTTACCTGATTATTTTCAAGCAAAAATATTTCTGTAGAAAAACTTCAAAAATGTGATTACCGATACAGCAAAAAAACGAAAACCGAATAAAATCGAAGAATGTAAATTACCTAGGATTTCTGAATTCAGTCAATTTCGTGTTTATGTTTATTCAGTTGATATCTTGTATAACCGATTCGGTTCCGGAACAAGAACATTTTACCCTTTCACAATTTTGGCCCTTAAATCGCCACAAAACAGCATTTTTATTTCAATTTTTTGCACCAAAAGAGGTTCATTATTTTCACTCCTTCTCATTGAAGAGTTTTGAAGAGCTTTTCGCTACCAAATAGACCTAGATGATCAACTTATTTTAATCTTATACACGCAGTCACTCTGTTCCGAACCGTTCCGAAATTGTTCCGTTCCGAAGCAATATGTTCCGAACTGAACTGTTCCGATTTTTTTTGTTCCGTGACATCTCTACTAGGAATGTAAGGTACCTGATCACCCAGCCACCATTTTTTACACAAACCTTCCACCTTTCGTTTTTTATTTTCGTTTAGTGCTTTATTGTATGCATTTCTTACAATGATGAGTATTCCCTGGGAATATCACTATGACATAGCATTTATGATATAATAATTCACCTCATTACTTCATTTCACCTTTAAAGGTCACTGTGTACTTTTATAAAATTTCACGACCATGTGCTATTTTCAGATACACATACTAGTAACTGATTCCACACAATCATGGTCTATAGTACATATTTCATTTTTTCTCAAAAGGTGCATTAGTGCCCCAGTAGTTTGCCGAGATGAATAATTGAGAGTTGATAATCATTTAGAATGTATGAATGTAACAAGATTATTCAGTAGTCTACTTTCAAAATTGTGCAAAAAAATTTCCAAAGTACTCACTGACCTTAAATCACTCAATCAAATTGACACAGTTTAACCTCAAATTTAATCGTTATTATTTTGTACAAAAATACTGACTCATTATTATATTTTTAAATGTCTTTCTGCTCCTTACCCCTGATCCTAAAATATTTCAATTTCTTGTCCTAATCTCTTTGTGTAGCTGATGAAATGTATCTCTTGAACGGAAAGTAAACTGTTTATGTAACATGGTGAAAAGTCATAAGGAGAAAATATCATTTTGAATGGAATAAAGACGATACTTATTCCAGAAAGAAAAATAAGATGTTTATCATTTTCAAACAAAAGACGCAAAACTGGTTGGTGCCTTAACTGCCATCATTTTTGAAAAGCTGTAATTATTAAGAATATTGATGAAGAATTAAACCGAGAAAGTCATTCAGACTGACTGTAATTTCATTCTCTGGTATCCTGTATCTCAGTTTATAGTCTAGAGAGTGACCCTAAAGAGCTTTTCACCCCACCCCCAGACAAAAATTCTTTCAAAATCATGAATTTAATGTGAACTGAATAGGGTACCCTCTATTATATTTATTTTGAACAAATATGAAATATCCTAAAAAAGAAATTTTCAAAGCTCAATAGCCTCTAGAATAATTTATTCAATCATTATCTAGTTTTCACTGATAAGTTACTCACCTCTAACAGTATCTCCAGAATTTTCCTCTGAACATGCTTTTCCTAAATACTTTACAAGGAGGATTTTATATATTAGCCTTCTGTCACCTACTATGGATTTAGGTTTTACTAATATGCAAAAGTATAACAATCAGATTGCCAAATTTGAAATATTGTTTTTTTTTGTATTGCAGACCTCAAATAATGTGTCATGACATCTGATAACACATCTTGCACAAGTACCTCTCCTGTATCAAGCAATACTAAATGGACATTTGGATGGAAACGGAAGATTGGAGAAACAGTATCCAAACAAAAATCGAAAGCATTTGAAAACGATGCTAAGGAAGAAGGTGACATTGAGGTAGAAAGTGGGGAGATTGACTGGATCTCTTTGATGCCCAAAAGGAAAGTTATAAGCATTGAAGATGCTGTCGTGAAGTCTAATCGATTAAAGAAGGAAGGAGCTACTTTAGCTGAGAATGAAAGGTATATAACACTTTTAACAATACAGAAAATTGAATAATTTGTTCATTGTAATATTGGTTATAACATTGATATGCATGATAGATTGCATATGCTGTTTTGACCATTCATACAATTGCAAGTTTGATATTTATTTATTTCGACATACAGCAGTATAATAATATATATAATTGAAAGTGAAAGTTTTTAAAGGTTATTGATAAAACTTGATATTTCAGATTTTGGGAGGCCATAAAGAAGTGGGATGAAGCATTGACATTTACACCAGATGATGAGACATTGCATGAAATGAAGTCACAGGTAACATATTGCCATCTATTCTGTCTTAAAAACATCTTCTTAAGATAACTGTATAAAGACTCTGGTCGGATATATACTATTCACCATGCACCACTTGCAGAGTTCAATTTTAATTAATCCAGTATTTTTTTTCATATCAATGGAAAGATGTTATTAAAGAGATATAAATATCATTTTGAAATTTGCTTTGTAGATTAAAAAAATTATGAAAATTGAGGCAGTTAAAAAAGATGAAAATCAAAAGATTAATGTAGTTAAAAAAGTTTGAAAGTGAATAATTGGGAAATGTCATTTAACATATTGATTTTTGAGCGAATTATCCCATCGAATGGATAAATATCCATATAAAAATTAAGAATTATAAAATGTAATCATGAAATTAACATAAAATTTATCATCATGAGCATCTACCTTAAATGCATAATTTAATTATAATTCCTACTTTCAGTCATATCTGGCATTGTGTGAAGTGTTCCCCGCTGTACATTCGGCAGAGCATGCAATACGACTTAAGCCAACATGGTGGGTGGGACAGCAGAGCCTTGGTAGGGGTTATCTAGGTCTGGGGGAGGTGCAAATGGTATGTTGCATGATGTATTTTAAGCATTGTGGGATCCACAGCCTTTACTATCCTTTTGGAATAGTTCTCTCAAAAGCATTAGGTAAAGAGGGACTCTGATAAATCAGAATGTATTTTAAGGCATTCTCCAAATGCAGGACTCCAGACATCATCCACCCTGTTTCTTCCTTCAGTAGAGTGGATGTTGCTTGGATCCCTATAGTGTTTGTAAAGTTCAAACTTCTTAAACAAGGTCCAACAAAGTAACCAGTCACTCTGAATTGCTCTTAAATTTTTGAAAATCTCCTGGTGGAAGATCTTTTGTATAACTGCATTAAATGGCACACCGAAACTGAGAATTTCACATGTCTCAAACTTATATTTCAGGCTATCACATGTTTCACTAAAGCAATACACCTTGACCCATCTCAGATTGAACTCTGGGAGGAAGACTTAAAGTGGGCGTGTTCATTATGGGAGAAAAAACTGCAGGCAGAAAAGGAGCTCTCTAATGTGAAGGAACAATCAGATAAAGCTAAAATAAAGGAGATTGAAGAGCACAAAGAGGAAAGTGAGGGTCTTCAAATTGAAAAATATCAAAAACCTGATACTGAACATTTACTTGATACAGCAGATACAACTGAAGCTAATGATCATAGAACTATAGAGAGTCCTCCAGAAAATTATGTAAAAATGAAATTCTAAATCATATATTCACCTTATATATGGCTCCTATATGTAGTTAAATTATTATGACAGTATGTACAGTCTAACATAGTATAGAGGAGAAGCCTTCCTAAGTTTTCAAGCTTCAGGTCACTCCTCTTTAAATAAATACATTTTTACAAAAGATTGTTGTATAGAATTTAACTTTAAAAACTCTCTTTAAGTGTTTCTGTCCAGTTGTGGAAAAAATTTAGTTCCAAAAAATGAATTTCAATATGTTTTTACATCCAAATCAGAATGTTGATTTGCATACCCTTTTTATAAGCACAAGAGATACTCGAGAAACATATTAGCAGAAAAATCACCAATGATACTTCTTCCACAACAGTTGTGTCAAATTCCCAGTTATTATGTGATGGTTTAATAAATAAATTGAAATTGAAAAAAAGAAAAACTTGAACCTAATCAAATTAAAGAAAAATTAAAGAATAAGGAAAAACAAGGACAGAAACCTGTATAACGTATCCTACCAATTGGAGGGTAATCTAGTTTATATGTTTTTCATCCAAGATGGCCAACATTAATCTATTGAAGAGACAGGGTTTCAGGATGGAAAGTCAAATGGTAACCTTAGGTGGCAATTTTGACATGTTCATCTCGAAAACCACCCAAAGAGTGTGATGAATTAATTTAAAATTTTAACAACTTGCTACTCAAAGGACCATGTACGAGATGAAAATAAAAGATATCTCTTGAATTTTGCTAAATCCTGATATTATATGGAAGTCAAAGTGTACCAGCTAATATTAACTTCAAGTAGCTAGTTTAGTATCAGAATAGAGAATTTCTAATCCATACTGTGTCAATAAATAACAATGCATAAATCAAAATATTTGAACATTGAGCTTGCGAGATAGGCTAAGATACTGTGTTGTTCATTGTCTTCCATTTTAATGTGAATTAAACTAGACAACTTAAGGTTTAATATGCACGGGTACAGGGTGGCCATAGGAAAACAGACTCTTGATTAATATATAAGAAGTACATTGGTCATAACTTGTAGTTAAACTTTTTAAATATGATAAGATCTTTGTGACTTTGTGAAAATCAGATTACAGTTCAGCCATATTCTCTGTTTTATATTACATTACAGTAGTTAAAAATATATCACTTAATTTTTGGATCACCCTGTTCAGAAGTTTGAAATCACAAAATTATATGATATTGGACCAAATACTATAGTTTCAGCATGATGAAAGTTCTATGTTTAAGTCTACTTTCACTTGGATTCATCAACAGTACATTAGGAGCAAGCATACAGAATGGACAGTTTGATAAAGCAGATGGGGCAAATTTGGCTGAGGGTGTCGTAGAGATGGCCCAGTATGAGCCATATACATGGCCCCCTCCACCCCCTTGGCAGCAGAAGGCACACATGGGTACAATTATGTTGTTTTTAAGTGGTATTTTAGTGGTTGTACAAGTTGACTTTAAAACATAAATTCAAAATATTATTTTGTTTTTGGAACACCTGATCTACCCTACTTATGAGTGAATATGTAATATGTATGTTCAGAATTGGATTGTATTTCATTCTCTTTTCTTTATTCTTATCTCATAGACAATAAAAATACTTTGCTGAATTCTTAACATTGATTCATTCACTCTTCTCTTTCTGTAAAATTAATAGACTCATAGTTAATACCTTAAAAACAAAGGTACTCATTTTTAACTCTAAAGTTTCTGCCCCTTTCACTTTCACTTCATGATCAAGAAATTGAACGTGTAAATAAATATAAATATCTAGGACTAATTCTTACTGATAATAATAAATTTGACATCAACACAAGTTATCTCAAAGAACAATCACGAAAGGCAATATTCAAAATCAAACAGCAGTATAAGAAATTCAATGATGTGCCACCTGATGTTGCTCTTCACCTTTTTGATTCATTAGTCAGTCCAATACTACAGGGTGTCCGGAAAGTAAAGATACAAATGCTCTTATTTTAAGAAATTTGGATTTTTTGAAATGAAATTGCTACAGATTGTAGAGGAACAATATTACAATATATCTACGAACTTTAATCACATATAGTCTAAATTTGTTCAAGTTACGGTTGTTATGGTTACGGATGTGAGAGGTATGCGGAGCAGTTCCAGAACAACGCTAAAAAGTGAAAAATTGCTAAAAGACAATCATCTGAAACAATGTTTTTTGTTGTATTTTCTATCTATGTTTTTCTTTTGTTCATCATTGTATTATTGCTGCCATAGTGTTTTCTTTTATATAATGATGTCATTGCTTCATATCAGAACTATGTAATGTCACTAAACCAGTATAATGAAAAAAATATTATACAAGTGCCTAGAAGAATGGTCCCTGGCCATTAGTCGGAAAGTCAATGCTGCATCTCCATAATGCACCAATTCACAAAGCAAAAAACGAATCTTACAATGGAGTGTCTTGACATAAAACCTTTCTATACAATGCCCCATATTCACCTGATAAAGCCTCTTTAGACTTCTACCTTAATGACCATTGGAAAGCAATATTTGTAAAAAGTTCAACATACAAATGAGACTCAGCTGGAAGCCAATGTTATCAGCAATCTGAGAGATGGACAGCAACGGTTTTGTCAGGTCTTTGAATCGCCGGTCAAGATGCACCAAGAATGTATAGATAATGGGGAAAATACTGAATATTCAATGATAGTAGTAATATGAAATGATCAAATAATGTTACATTACTAATCCCTATGCTGTGGTGGTACCTAATTTGATATAATATAGGAATAGATGGTGGAGTGCCAAGATCATATGAGCAGGAAAGAGATTTGTAGAACACAGTTGTGACGTTGCTCCACTTACCCTCGACTCCCGTTACCATAACAACCATAACTTTTTCATTTTGAAACTTAAAGTCATGACAGTTGCAGGATATATTGTTATTATGTCATTCTACATTCTGAAGCAATTTCATCTCATAACTGGTAAATCTCTTGAAATTAGAGCATTTGTATCTTTACTTTCCGGACACCCTGTATGTTATGGCTGTGAAATTTGGTATGACAAGAAGCAGATGAAAGCGATTGAAACAATACATTTGTCCTTTTTAAAATCTATTTTAGGTGTCAAAACTCAAACAGCTAATCCCGCAGTGTATGGTGACCTTGGTAAATTTCCTTTATCTATCAAAATTGAATTATCAATTGTGAAATACTGGTTAAGACTTATTAAACTACCAGAATCTAATATTTTAAACCAGGCTTACTCATATGGACAAGAAAAACATGAATTAGGGTTTAAATCTTGGTCTGGGAAAGTTTATGATATACTTCATAAATGTGAACTAACAGAGTACTGGGATGACCAAAGCCAAATTACAGACCTTAGTAAATTTGGTTGACAAGAAATTAAAGAATATGTTTGTAGAAAATTGGTCTGGGAAAGTTTATGATATACTTCATAAATGTGAACTAACAGAGTACTGGGATGACCAAAGCCAAATTACAGACCACTTAGTAAATTTGGTTGACAAGAAATTAAAGAATATGTTTGTAGAAAATTGGAAAAGGGACATTTTGATATATCCCAAATTAAGAACATATAAGCTGTTTAAGAAAGATTTTGCATTAGAACCATATACAAAGTTAGACAATAAAAAATATAGATTAGCAATAAGTAGATTTAGGTTGAGTTCACATCAGTTAAAAATAGAAACAGGAAGACACACGAAGCCAAAATCCAAACCTGTAAATGAAAGATTATGTAATATATGTAAATGTGTAGAAGATGAATTTCACTTTATCATAAATTGTACAAAGCATTCTCAACACAGGCAAATATTTTTCAGCAAAATTTCTGAAACATTACCAAAATTTGATTTAAATGGTGATAATTTATTTACAAATATAATTTCAAGTGATAATACCATCGTACAACGGCATCTTGGTAAATTTATATATCACTCATTTAACAATTTAGAATAGTCAGCATATTTTGTACATCACACTTAAAAATATTCTGCCTCTCTTGTATGCTTTCAATATGCATATGGAATTTTTGTACATTACTTTGTAAATGTAGAAGTAGTTTTTAGTTAGTCTTAGTGAGTAGTTGTGACTAATGTAATCATGTAATGATACAATATGTCAATAAAAGTTATATATAAAAGAAATTAAAAGAAAACTCCCAATTAAGAATGGGTGAAATCAGATGTTATCAGAATTTCACAGAATTCATGATAAAAAGTATACATTTGTGAAAAATTAGCAATTTCATTATTTGACCAAATGTATATTTTTTGTAGCCCGTTATCTTGCGCACTATGCAGACTGGTGTGTTGTGTCTTCATTTTCTGAAGATCTCGGTGGTGTTCCCTTTGGCGAACTTCAATCCTTTGCAGATGGGACGCTTGATGAAAGCTCTGGAACACCATACTTCTACTTGGCTGAAGTTTCAACCATGTTGAAAAATATCAAATTCAATAATAGTGTATCTATCACAGTCTCTCAGGCACAAAGCGATTATTGCAGTAAACACCAAATGGACCCTGAGCTGCCGACATGCTCAAGAGTGACCCTATCTGGAAAGGTAAGAGTATATAGAGCCCCATAGGATAAGGTCAGAAAATATTCACAATCCAAATTAGAATTGTCTGAGATCATCTGCTTTATCTTACAGTTCTTTATATGTTTTAAATGTTAATGATCTCTTTACTGTCATCTTTTTATGAACATTCTCTCGCCTTAAGCCAATGGTTTTACTGTGTCAATATTTCAGATGTTGGCAGTTGAAGGACAAGAGGCAGCTACTGCTAAGCGCTACCTGTTTTCCAGGCATCCAGATATGCCAACATGGGGATCAGGTATGTGCTATGTTACACTGTTCTGGGCCCACCAAGGAGGGGAGGGGGGCAGAAAAAACATTGTGAGCCCAAAAATTTTGTAGGGCCTAAATTTTTCAAAATTTGGGCCCAAAATCTTTTTATGCGCAAGCACAGAATTTGTTTTTTAATTTGAAATGTAGGCCCCCCTTGTTAGCTTCTGGATCTGCCAGTGTGTTACATAAATGTTGAGCATGTAGGCTGTGGAATATCTGATAGACCCAACATTAACATTTTATTATCTTTCAGTGGCCTTGGTACATAGTAAAATACAAGTGAAAAAAATGTGTACCTTAGAAACAAAGTAAAATAAAACATTGCGTTTATTCTATCTTCAGGTTGGTACTTTTATAAGCTGAACATCAGGTCCATATTTCTCCTGGATTACTATGGAGGAGCTGCTCATGTTCAAGTGGATGAATATTACGAATACTAGTGTATGAACTAGATTATTCACCTGACAATCCAAAAGGACACTGTGGCTTGGGGTACAATTAAATCTAAATGTAACAATAGACTACAAGGATACAATGACTTGGATTACAATTAATGAATATGAATGTAACAAGAGACAAGATATAACACCAACAGCTCAATGTCTCTGCAGTATCAGATTGTGTACACACAAAACAACACTGAAAGTCAGCTAAGGACTGTCTGTAACAAGCATATTGGTTATTATCCACCAGATTTCACCTGAGATTCAATTAACTATAGCCTGGTAAATAGAAAAAATAACTTGTTCTTGTTTCATACAATTTCTTTATTTCAACAATACTGCACATTTTATTCATCACATACAGACAAATACACTTTTAACCATCACAGATTCTAACAGATTGTCCAACTTTTCTCAACATTTCAGTACACAAAAGATTGTTTATTTTGTTAAGATACAAATGAACCAAAATTTGGACTGAGCATTTTTTGTAAGACCAGATTAAATTTTCTTAAAACATGACATGATACTACTCGTATGTTTTCAATTTCCATTTTATCCATGACTGTTATTCAAATATTTTGTCTTGCAAAGACCTCCGTATTATTTCATTATATGCCATCACATGGATGTCGACATCTGTGTGTCATCTAGCTAATCATAACTAGAGAGAATACCATCATTAAGCACCTTAATGTCTTCTACGATGCTTGTCCACATGGTTTATATGACATCTTACATAATGGTATTCCGGGTTGACCAATAAGTTTTTTGATAAGGGCTCTTTAATAAACTTTTTTGACTTTCTTCCAAATTTCCAGACAATTAGATTATTAGATATGCCTAACTGACCATATTGATATTAGGGATGGGACGGAACAAAAAAACTTCGGAATGGAATGGGACGGTATTTTGGCCTTCGGAACATCGGAACTTCGGAACGGGACAAAATTGAATTTCAGACTGATAACGCTACTGGGCGTTATTTAAAGTGAATATGGTAATCTTTCTATCTACCTGATCATATGAAACTGAAAGTGGATTTGTTTTCATACCTAGTATATCATCGTAACCCCCTTAAAATATTCTATCAGTTGGATCTCAATGTTCCCGGTATCTACCTTTAAAGGATTGTTCAGATCTAGTGAATTTAACCTCTCTTCTTGAGGGAGTTATTCAAAATTCTTAGTGACAACTCTCGATAGATCAGATCACTGAGGCCGGCATTGATAAACCTACTGCACAATGTGTCTGCGCAGGGAGCATCTCAGGGAATGTCAGCTATGCTGAAACTTTTAATAAACGTATCTAGCAAAGGTAACTTAGGCTTGCTTTGTTGCATTTTTGATTCGCCCCCTAACCCACGTGCTTCCCGATAAACATTGCCAAGGGATCAGTCAATTTGTTTAGGTCTATCATTGAAATTACTTAGTCTATCAAAGAAATACGCTAAGGAGAAAATGATCGATCTGCATTATCCAAGATGGCGATGTAAACATTCGATAAAATTAAGTTTATAACCTCAATAAAGTGAAAAGTGGTCATGAAGATCACTAAAAAGTACTAACCACTGCTTCTGGAAGAAAACAGGCAATGATTTAGAAACATTTGGAGTGAATAACCGCTAAAACGATGCTGGTTTTGAGCCCCTTGACCCATCCCGAAAATGCTGCCTTGTGTTCCGAGTTCCGATACCAAACCCAAATACCTCGGAACGGGACAGTTTCGGGTAACCGTCCCATCCCTAATTGATATGTGGCATTATTTTACATATCTTTGCTACTTATTGATTGACCCGGTGTTTATAATAAAGGCAGGCTTATGTGGTAATCCAGTCTCAGGTTGAGTCGTCTTCAGAGCATGTGTATTCTATTAGGTACATCAGGTTGAGTCTTCAGAGCATGTGTATTCTATTAGGTACAATGGGAGAACCTGTTGAGCATTGAATATAACATATTCCTGGCAGAGATGGTTAGTCTTGTCATCACCTCTTGAGTTACTGAACAGTCGACCTGGGGTCTGAAAAAGAAAGAAGCACTTGTACTTGTATATCAGAACATGCCCTATAGATTGAAGATTGTGTCCAAGATATTAACTTTCACATACATATAAAGACAATGAGCCCTATGAATTAGATAAACATGCCACAATATGAGAGTATGAAATCTCTCCATTATTTAACTACATAAGACTATTGTATAAAATTCAGCTTTTAAGTTCATGTAACTTACTAATATTGAATCATAGCCTGTATCTGGCCTGTGTCTAGTTCTGTCTTTTTTGACGACTGTTTGAGTATTTCCTATTGCCACTTCTGCATACAATATTTTGCCAAGCTGGAAAAAAGTATCAAAATATTAAACACGAAAGGTAGAGTGATTTGAAATAGTTATGGACGATCATTGTAATGAGCATTTAAAGTGTAATACACAAACATTTAAATCCCAATATGGTAATTCTGAGTTATTTAGCCTAATATCCACCATAAAATCAAATAAAGTAGAATATGTAGATGAGAAAGACCTAAACATATAATTTAGGATTATGGCACGAAGGACAATAGTCAATTTATATCTAATATCCATCACTATGTTTTATGTGATCGAGTAAGAAGCTTTTATTCTCTGATTTAAAGTTGTCAGAACAAATATTCTTTATACTTCAACCTCAGCTCTGTTTATTCGTATTTGTGTGTACTCCAAGAATCACACCATTTCATCGGAATGAAGCATTATTGAACTTACTGTTGAAAACTGTGCAGCTTTTGAAGGATATTGTGAGAAGTAAAGACCTATACCATATTCTCCATGTGAAAAATCTGAAACATAAAAACAATTCATAATGCTTCAAAATGATTAAGTAGAGACTGAACAGATTTAAAAATTTAAGTAATATTCATTAAATAGACAAAATAGAAAAAGCAAAACAATATAGACCCCTTTATATACCATATGAACAATATAAAGCCAAACCAGATTGATTTTTTCCAGCATTACCATATCCATGGTATATTCACAGGCGCATAAGGTACATACATTTGAATAATTTGAGTAAGTCACAGGTATATAAAATATTGAGGCTAAATTTAGACCATACTGAACTAACATACAAAACATGTTAAACACCAACCTTCCTCTGTGAACCCATTACTGAGAATATTTTCTATTCTTTCTGGATGCTCTAAGGTACCAGCAAAGTAGAGCTTCAGCACCATACTGGAGTCATTCATTTCTCTAAGACGTATCATGTGTTTTTCTTCAACACTGTGGTGTAACATGGCCTGAAAGAACAACACATCTATGATACTCGTTAATTACAATTAGAACATGACTGTATTCACGCCTTCTATAAACTGTAAACAAAGTCAATGCTTCAGCTGGGTTTTATTTGAGATCAATAGCCCAGTTAATACATGTAATGTGTGAGGTCATAACGGTGGGTCGTAGTAGTGGTGGACCATGATGAATATTCGAAACAATTTGGTGAGTTTTCATGTTCGAATCGTAATGTAGACCTCAGAGCAGGGGTAATATTGTCGAATACACCCCTTGGGGTTAGGCACAAAAGCTTTTGAACCGAACGTTTGTGCCTAGCCCTGTGGGGTGTATTAGACGATATAACCCCTGCTTTTCGGTCTATATTTCTTAATTAGTAGTCCTGGATCAATCCCTTGTTGTGATTTATACCAAAAGGTTTGGGTCTGGGGGTAAGAAGAGTTTTGTTGCATTAGTCTAACAGTTTAGATATGGAGCTCACAAAGGGGAAGAATAATGAGGTATTTTCTTTGGCAATAATTTATTCTCCATATATGCTCCAATTACTTGGGCACATGTGGGAAATGCATTGGTGAGAAACATGCTTTGTCTAATGATAATTCAGAGCACCTTTGAAGCAAAGAGAATTTCCTCAGATATTAAGATATTGATGTTCTTCAATATTTTATTTTTCAAGCCATGAAAATTTGCCTTTGCGCTAAGTCTTAGAGTGACAATTAAAAGGCAACGAGAATGGATTTTTTTCCTTGAAAATCCAAATGTCATTTATGTTGACTGATTGCATTTAAATAATCCTGAGAATTAACTTTGACATAAAGTCTTAGATACTAACATCATAATTGATGCAAACTGAGAAAAATGTGACAATGTGACAAACTCAAAGAAGTAAAATGTGTTACGTCAATAGTTTAAGGTTGTTCCACACATTTACAAAAATCTCATTTCAATTCTAAGCTAAGTATGATTTTAGATTATGTATTCTGCTATAATGTGTACAAATCCACATAAAACCATTTTATCACATTTTTCATGATGATCAACCTAAGGGTAAGTGTTACTAGATCATCACCGCATTGATACAACATTATCAAATATACTCGATATTTATTAAACCAATTTGAAAATGTTAAATCTGGCAAATACAGTACAGCTTTAATACGATCAGAGAATCAGTAGAAATCCTTGATCAATAGTCAATACAATTTTGACTTACATGGTGGCAGCGGAATAATAGACTCAATGGCCCTCAATACTGTAAATGTTTATAATTGTATGTATTTATTCACTAAAGAAGACACAGAAATGTCTTGTAAATCATGTCAGTTCAATTTCCACACAACGTAGTACCATGTATTACTGTTATCAAGTGCACTTTCTTTTAATGGTTATAGAGACTGCATGATTCTTTTACAAACCTACAAGCCAAAATTGAAGTTGACATCTATCAATCTACAACTTTGCCTTAAAGGGTGACGCATATCGTTTAGCAAATCGAACGCTCGTTTCTGGTGTTGCTCACCGTTTAGTATAAAAGGCCCGATCCCGGAATAATACTCAAGGGTTCACAGGTTCGATGTCGTTGTGTCAACACCTCTAACTGTTATATAGCATAAGTATATTATAGATCGTCACACATTTATAAAAGGGTGATTTTTATTTTGACAAATCAATTCCAAATTTATGGGTGAAGTTTCAGGATCTTCTATTTGTGTATAATAAGGAAAAATTGGCATCTTTTCCCCATAACGTAATAGTACACAGCTTGGCATATGAAATATCCTACAAATGAAACAAAGCAGTTCTAATACAAGGATTTATATTGGCTGTTGTACATGTACTGTTTGAACACAATCACTCTATGGATAACGTTTTCAAAATCATTATAAACGGATTACTTTATCTCAAATACAATTTCAATAAACTGGATTTTACAGAACTCCCCTTATTTCTTAAAAATGGACTGATCCAGTTGATTCGCCTGGAGCCGACATATTGTTTTTATACGGGATGCTTATCGGAACCCTTTAAATACATTCATTTGCATTGCTGATTTTTCTCAATTGGGTGAAAATTGATTTTTTTAAAAATGCTAAACAGATTATGCAAAACAGATTTTTTTCAAATGGGTTCAAAAAGGACTTGTCTGGCATTGGACGCAAGTTGCCATGATTACCTTAAACATTCCAGGGAGATAAATGCTTATACATTACCTTGTTGACCATGTTTGACTCGTAGGTAGCTGTCATTGTAGTATCTAACTTCATTTTGTCTTGGAACTCTTGAGTCATCTTAAAGAACTCTTCCATGTCTTTACCATGGTCATATGGAACTGGCTCATGCTTGGAGAGCATATATTGATGGTCATCTGCAATTACAATTTTAAATTACAGGTGAGAGACTGCTTCAATTACACAGCTTGAGTGATCAGGCCTATCACAGCATATTTGTTATGTAGGGTGATTTTTCAGAATATACAGGGTGTCAAATAAATGTTCTCCCCTTGTGACTTAAACAACCACATAATGTTGAATTACTTCTGCAAGGTATCTGGATTGTTCTTTTAGCGCATTAAAACCAGGCTTCATGGAGTAACTCCACAAGAAGTTTCAGATGACTAGCTCAACTAGATGCAGTTTTATGCATAAAAGTTATTCTCTTGAAATTAAGGGGGAGAACATATTTATTTGACACTCTGTAGGGGGCATCTCACAACTATGGAAGTACATCTGCACTCGAAACACCTTCTTTGGTTATTAGAACTACAGCATGTTGATATTTTTCAATTATCTCAATATTTTTATTGAGTATTTTATTATGCTAAACTTTGCACTTATAATCCTAGTTGATGTTCTTGGGAGTTCTTTATTTGCATCTAAATAAACTATAAAATGAGTCACTCCAAATCTAGACTGCATCTACACTTTTTAAATAAGGAATAATTTTTGCATAGATCCAAAGTAATGACACTCAGTTTCTGCTGAGATATCACAAGTTTTCATTTCATAGTTCAAATATACATAAAAACCATAAAAAGTGCATTTGAGATTGTTAAGACCTAAACTTCATAACTTAAGTTATAGTCAGAGGGCAATGTGGCTAGCCATAGTTTTTAGATTCAGGGTTTACAAGAAATGACTTCACGCTGCAAGAGACAGAAACACATTAGGTGAAGCAAAAGGGTCTAATTCATAGAGATTTACTGTCTTGAGGCAAAGGATGTCACTGGTCATGCCACTGAAGCAATATATCAGACACAGGTGTCGTTGTTAATGCAGGAAATCCTATTTAGAGTGCGAAGTTCTCTTTCATTTGCAGGGATTAGTTTTATTGTGTTCCTGATAGCCTTTCCCAACATCTTCTCATTATCACATCTAATCTCAAAAAATGACAAAAAAGGATCCTAAAAGAAAACTTATTGAAACACAAAAATGTGTTTCAATAACTCTTTCTTAACTGAGTACTTATCAAATAGAATATTTATTTGTTTTAGAAAAAACACTAAAATGAATGAATGGGGAACCTTATGAACCTATGAATGGAGCACCTTAAATTGATGACATGCACTGAACATACAGTATCTGGGGCTGTAATTTACGTAACTAATGCTGGAAGACAAACCCAGAAACCTCTCTTTGAAGGAGCCCTGTGTTCTTTTAGTTGCACTCATACATAGTCTTAAAAGTACACACCACAGCCTTCTGTACGAGTTGTGGATCACTCAGTCAAACACCCTGAAGTACTTTACTAAAGCTAGGAAATTAAGTATTGCCGCATGCATGCAATCTCAAATGGATACTTATAAATACCTCGATCCTTTCTGTAACACAGAAGTGTTGAAGCTGTGTATATATAGCATGGAGTATCTGTGACAATCTCAAATGGATACTAATAAAGGCCTAAACATAACACGTAACAAAGTTGCTTACCTATAGCATGCAGGATCTGATCAGGATTAGGAGCACCAGCAGGACTGACATTGTTCAATTTCATCATGTCAACATGTCTCTGGAGATCCTTTATAAGTGAATCTGTGGGAATCTCATCCTCATCTGAAATGATATATGGGAATATTATAACATGGTTTTCATTAAACAAAAACAAATGTTTCTCATTATGTTATTGCTTTGGCTGCATCATAAAAATCAAAATCTTTGAGATGATTTGCTTTTATTATCCTATGATAGTCTTCATTCAAACTCCATTCCCTTGGCTACTCATACCAGTTTGGTTTGTGTGCTATGGGGGGGGGGAGTAAAGAAGAGATTGCAAGAGATTGATGCAAGACTACCATTGAGTCAGTCGTGAGATATCTATAGAAACATGTAAGATACAGATAAATAGATAATGCCTAGATGGTATAATTACAATACACTTTAAGCATACACCTGAGCAGAATACTATATCTAGTAGTAATTCAAAAATTAATGAAGATATCTTTGCCAGGATAATTCAATTTAGGGTAAAACTGGTAAAGTGCACACCACTGGTTCAAGTTAAATGTGTTGACATTTCATTAAGAGGTTCTGGACATCCAGGGAGGTTGGAGGACATCCAGGGAATTGGTACATGGAATATGAAATACTGTAGATATGGGAAAATTCAAGAAATGATTATGGGGACATCTGAGGAATGGGTATAGGGAAACTCAAGAAATAGGTATAGGTAAAATCAAAGAAATGGGTATGGGGAAATCCAAGAAAATTAGTATGGGGACATTTGAGTTATGGGTATGGGAAAATCCAAGAAATGGGTATGGGGAAATTCAAGAAATGGGCACAGGGGAATCCAAGAAATGGGTATGGGGAAATCCAAGAAATGGGTATGGGGAAATTCAAGAAATTGGTATGGGCAACATTCGAGGAATGGGCACAGATGACATCCGAAGAATGGGTATGGGGGAATCCAAGAAAATATGTATGGGGAAATAAAAAAAATGGGTATGGAAAAATCCAAGAAACGGGTATGGAGACATCAGATGCGTGGATATTGTATACAACACATTGTTGTTCATAAGTAAACACTTGTCAATTAATTTGGATAAATGGTCTACTTGGAATATTCAATGTAATACTAAGACTAATAAGTAACATCAATAACAATATAGCACTTTGTAAGATTAATGATCAATGTCAACATGGTTGTATTCATTTTCAGTAAAACAAATGAGCATCCCCCTACAACCTTTTTATGTTATGCATAACACTTATGGACTGCCATTATTCAAACAGTCAAGTGTGGTAAACTCAAACTGTATGGTTAATGTACTGCTGTTATTGACAGACAATGTTATTCATTTATATGAACAAAAAGCACTCAAGCAGAAAAACTATATTTCAAAAACAGGCTTGTTCTGCTGTATTTGCAATGGAGCTGCATTTTTCAAAATTTCACCAAATAAAGGGTTAAATAAGATTGAGATGAGGAAAAGAAATCGAAGGTTCAATTTATAATACAGAAAGGGAAATCACCTTAGCGCAGAATTTCATCTGTGTTTTCATTAACCTATGTCTTTGACACCTGATATCATTAGATGTAAAGAAACATTTTATCCCTTTGTCTGGTTATTAATTTCAGATTGTGACATGGGTAACTATACTATAAGATAATGTTACAGTCATTTTAAGGCTACGGTTATGTTATGTTCATAAACTGAGCATGTCATATAGAATTTCATTTCTAGAGTTTTAACAAAAACAACATCTTAATAATGAACAGATATTTCATATTCCATTAAAAACAATTTTCAAGAAAAACAATTTTAAACAATTCATAGATAAAGCACTTAATCAGTGATTATGAAATGGTTGTTTTGGCAGTGTGACCTTGACCTTTGAAAAACTTTGACCTTGAACCCTAGATGTACAGACTCATCGATCATTACTCAATCATCATCCTTTCACATTGATAATTATGCTAGTATCAATGATAGTACTCTGGTGCATTGACCTCCACATGAACTTGACCTTTAAATCTTTGAACCCTTAAAGGGGTCTATGTTGACATGGACATGAACATTTTAGCATATAGACTATTTATCAAAACAAAACTACGAAGCAATCAAATGTACTGCATTAAGAAAGCATCAGAAGCTATATTTGGTTTGCATAATTCTGAACTGAAATAATTAAACATCAATACATACAATAACCATATCAACCAAAATAATGACTTTGCAACAGAAATAACTTTTAATTGATTTCTATCCTTCATTATGAATTCATGGCTTGATATATTTTTTCAATATTTACTCAACAGGGAATTTGTTATTTGATGTGATTGAATGAATTAATGGGATTTGCTAATGAAAAGATGGAAGGCTGGAACTGAATTGAAAACATACAATACAATTTATACGGGTATAATTTCAGGCATTATGGGTCAATATTATATACCATATCAGTATATTGTTTATTATTCAGACCAGTTTCTGTTATTTTATAAGTGTACTTCAAAGCAATATGTTAAGACACTACCACAAAGGTAACAAAGTAAATATACCAAACTAGAGCATCACACATGACCTATAAACCATAGAAAACCTTAAAAAAATGAAACCTCACAATTAACAATATCCCTCCCTTTAACATGACAATTAAAATAAAAATGATATGCCTCCTGCAAAGTACACTTGCACAATCCAATACCATTTCATTTATCTACATGCACATGTAAACACCATCTCTATTCAAAATAATATTTCTTACATAAAACACATTCGCCTTGCATATTGTGAACTATTTACTCAGTACTCACCTTCAAATTCTGCCATACTCCCTTCTTTTTGTTTGAACTCCGTCGCCATTATTTTAAACTCCAAAAATGACTTTTCTGAAAAAAGAAACCAGAATTGTAAAAGAACTATTATACTCTTATATCTGATTGGAATGTTTCAATACAGATCACAACTGTTATGACTTTTTCCTCTTTAATCCAATATTAGATATAATCTATACTTCATGACAGAAACTTTGTAAATACGTTCATGCTCCCTATTAGCAATATCCTGCTGAATTTAATACTAAGCTCTGTATGTCAAACCTTATATTATGTGTCGCACGTTATACAACCACTGACAAGTTACATTACATATGACGAGTACTAATTTGTTTTTCTTCTGCCGGAATAACAAACCTTTCTGTAATCGTCCAATAAGGAGCCAACAATTTAAGTTTGTTCAGCAATTCCCGTTAGGAAACTATGTACAATGCACTAATGTTGGAGCTTTATATATTAAGACTCAAAGTACATATTTAGTTAGCTACCAAATCCATGGGCCCAATTTAATACAAATATAAGCGATGGTCATTTGATAGGGTATGAAACCCACTCAAAGACATGTTTTTTGTTATCAAAATACTTTGCATTGTATAGGAACTAATAGAACCTTGTATGTCTTTGAAAGCCGTTTATTATCTAAACATCACAAGTTATACTGACTTTTCATTCCTTTGAGCCTTTTGAATAAAATTATTTTACATGAAACTTGACTCACTTTTTTCAATGTCGATATATTATAAAGTGCACTATAAGATATTATATAGTGCACTATAAGATATTATATAGTGCGCTATAAGATATTATATAGTGCGCTATAAGATATTATATAGTGCGCTATAAGATATTATATAGTGCACTATAAGATATTATATAGTGCACTATAAGATATTGTGAAAAATCATGAAGCTGTATCCTCATACGTGATTAGAAAATGATCTTATAGTGAAATAATCACTGATTTGATTATCTGTATACGGCAACTGTAATTAATGACATGCGTTGGTGCGAGGCTTAAGTACATTGTTCATCAACTGATCCAACAACATAATTTCATAACATCCATGTTTAACAACTCTTATAATTATATCTTTGTAATAACTAAGGGAGTTTATGTCTGCGATCATCATAAAAATGCTCATTCCAAAGATGACTTTATGACATAGTAAGCCCAAAATCTGATAACCTTAAAATATATCACTTCTTAGTCCTGTTTATAGCACTTGTGTCAATAATTTGTATTGTAATAGGTTAAAGTAAATAAATAGATTTAATTATATGTACATACACAGGAGGAAAATCTACCATATTAAAACTAATTTTTTTTAATGTTGAGTTCGATAACACTAATGTTTCAAGGAAAATATAAAAATATGAATTTTGTCTGTTTCTTCTTATTACATCATCAATATTTCGATTTCACAGAATCATCTTTCACATAACCTTCACTTAATCATATATAAAAGAAACTTAAAGAAGACCATAAGGTTACCATATTAGGGTACTCAGAAAACCATAAGGCTACCATATTAGGGTACTCAGAAAAGCATAAGGTTACCACATTAGGATACTCAGAAAACCATAAGGTTACCATATTAGGGTGCTCAGAAGACCATAAGGCTACCATATGAGGGTACTCAGAAAACCATAAGGTTACCATATTAGGGTGCTCAGGAGACCATAAGGTTACCATATTAGAGTACTCAGAAAACCATAAAATTACCATATTGGGGTACTCAGAAAACCATAAGGCTACCATATTAAGGTATTCAGAAAACCATAATGCTACCATATTAACCCTTTCCCGACGTGAATATAAAAGGAAAATGTTGGCCCGGTGACGGATAGGTAAGAGCAGTTTTAGGAAAAAGCTGCAAATTACCCCAGGACCTATGCTTTAAATTTTATCACTTAAATACAATTTTTAAAAAGGATTGTCACATTTCAACAACTTCTAACGATTTGGTGTAAAAATACTGAATAGAACTGAAGATATGGTCATTTCATTGATGTATATCAATAAAAATAATGGTGCCAAAAGGAGCCTATCATCCTGAAAGGTATTACATAATAGGGCTCCATATGGGTACCTCCATATGGAGCCTATCATCGTGAAAGGGTTAAGGTACTCAGAAAACCATGAGGCTACCATATTGGGGTGCTCAGGAGATCATAAGGCTACCATATTAGGGTACTCAAAAAAACATAAGGCTATCATATTAAGGTACTCAGAAAACCATGAATGTATGAAAACTAAAGATTTTGTTTTTCCAATTCCCCTTATTTTTGAAAGCGGTACTGTACTGTTCTGTATAACAGAATTTCAAAAAGAGCAGTTTCAACATATTGGATTTCCAAGGAATAAATTTTCCACGATTTGATGATAAAACTGATAATGGAAGGCAAAGCACTAGTGAAAATACTAGTGGAATTTTGACTTAAATTTGGACGAAATGATAAAAATGCGAAACCAATGACTCAACAGAGCAACATTCTGATGTTAATGAACATAGCCTGTCTGAGGATAAGAAATAATTGCCATATTCTCTATTGTTCTGCTCTTTTCACAAAGTAAGATAATTATTAGATTTATATCATCCAGGATGCGAATACTATCATTCTTATTATTATCAATTGGTAGGTGCAGGAATCTCACTTTATAAGGTAATTAGAGCACTTAATATTGTAACACAGATGTTCTCATCACTTGAACTGCTAGAGAAAACAGCAACTCCACAGAGTAGCAAATCCCACCAAACAAAACATATTTTATCAAATCATTCATTTTAAACATAACATGATAGAAATAACCAGGCAGAAATACAGTAATATTTTTTCCTCTTCCTAGGCAAGGTATGTCCGATTCTAGCCAATCCGAACAAAGTATTTCATATAACTGCACTGAATTATATAACCAATAACCAACCCAAGGTCATTCATTGAATGGTTGTCAAGGAGACAACTTGACTCTACAGATTGAAATGATGCTTTGCTAACTTGACCCTTGAAAAAAGTTTCATGTTCTTTTACTGATTTTGTGTCTTTCAGGTGATTGAGACTTGATGCATTGTGGCTGATTCATTCTACTCAGACGTTATTTTGGATGCTGCGCATCTCATGCAAAGGTTGAAATAACACCTTTTTGAGGAATGATTCAGTCCACATTGCACTGAGTCCCCTGGGTTTAAATCTTTAAATATACACAAATGATATGTGCTCTTCAATGGCACCCATTTTCAATCCAGTGGCCATCTTGAAAATTTATTTCTTAAACAGAGCTCCTATGTCCTTCAGGCATCAGCAAATGAGATCTGCATTAAATTTGGTCACTGGAATAGTATTTGTCGTTTGTTATCAAAGATTACAGTTTCTGAAAAATGATGGTCATTTTGAATGGAGCGGCCATATTGAAAATTCCTTCTGAAGCAGAGGACATAAGGCATAAGCCTATAAAACTTGAAAATAATTCATCAACCATTATTTTTCAGTTATTCCCTAGACAGACAGATGAACAAATGTACGAATGGATGGACAGCTTCTCTATATCCCTCTCAAACTTTGTCCAATGGGATAATAAATACATGTACATTACATGTGGATTATAATTAGGAGAACTGTGAGATGCAAATACAGAATTACAATAGAAACCACTATAGTGTGTAATAATACGGTTGCTAAGCAACATTAAACCTATGGTACTTGTCATGGCCATCTATGAGGGATCTACGTCATCTTTGATTTGTATTTCCATGGTAAAACTTTGGCTTACTCTTTAATTAGATATAACTTTGATTTGGAGGGCATATTCACTCAGTGTAGTTAAAAAATCACAGTTGCTATATTTGCATTCAAACTCCCATAAAGACCCATGTGAGATTATTAAGATCAACATCAAAGCTGCATAGTTGTCTGTCATCCTCAGAGGGTAGAGCAACTTGCCAATAGAATTTCAGGGTAGTCTTACATTGTCACACTGTGTTTAATAAATTGCTCACTTATTTATAAATATTTCATTTACTAAAGCACTTTATAATTAACTTTATTTGACAGGTAATTCTGTTTGGATTATATGCAACGACAATTCTGAAATAGACAGGAAAACTGCGTTACAAGGAAATATCCCGTCATCAAGAAAACCAAGTTCTATGAGTGGTTAGAACTCTATCATACAATCTCCCTTTATGTTCAGAATGTGGCTTTTTTCTTTGAATTCTAATTAACAATTCCGATAACAATGAACATTACCTCAATTTGACAAACTGTCTTTGACGTAAAATGAACATTAAAACATCGTAATTAAAGACTTCATTTGGCTTTCAGCGCCATATAATAATCTCAGTATGCCTCTGGCATTTCTTCAATATATTTTACACGTAATAAAGTCAGCCAACATCTTATAATAAAAGAAATTGCCAATCTGCGTTAAATGCATTATCTACAATAAAGTGAGGCGAGAAATTGTAAATACTATAATGCTCTCTGTGATTTGCCTATACAGTGAAACCTGTACATCTGATCACCTCTCTAATCCGAACACCTCTCAATGTGAACACTTTTTCTTGGTTCTTTGTTATCTCTCATTGACTATATTAAAAGAAGGTGTTCATATTAAAGAAAACTTGAAATATGAACACCTGGTAATCTGAACACTTTTGGCCATTCCCAATAATGTTCAGACTAAACAGGTTTTACTGTATTTCAATCTTGTTGGAAAGATCATGGGACTAGGTAGATATATAGGCCACTACTAGTGGCAAATTTGTAGCTGTAGAAACAAAGGACTTCGCTCATATAAATCTCCATAGGTCATTGCTGTGGAAAAATAATTTGCGACCACTGTGCTGTATTTGATTTGATTCCGATTACCCTACACAGTTAGGTTTGAAGTGCCATTAAGTGGTTCTGTTTGTGACGTCTTGTTTTTCACCAGGAAATCTTATTTTGCCACTAATGAACAATCAGAATAAGTTGTGAGTCTGTTCAAACACTATTCTTACTTAGCAATACCAAATAAATCTATTTTAGTGAGAACAAACGGAAATTACTAAAATGACACTTTAATTCAGATTTAAAGAGAAATATAAGCACACTCACCTATTTGGTATTTATCTCGGCTCAGTTCCTCATTTTCAGCTTCTAGATGTGTCAGTAGGTCTTGCTGAGAGCTGACCTGTAAATATAGGAGAGGTTAACAATCAGAATTGTTTACTTCAAGAATGTCCAAAAATACATGGATAATCAACAATCGTGTTTTAAAGCATCTTAGGTAAAGGAAAACAAATTCAATGCAAAAAAATAAAGAATTCTCTTGGAAAGCTAATGCACCTGGAATGATATGGTCTTATCTGAATGAACACAACTTCTATTAATGTCTATTTGTATGAGAACTCAATGAAATACTCTTAATAGTACGTATCCATTTGGAATCCCAATAGAGACATAAAGCAGCACTCTGAACATTATATACCTCTCTCACATTCTAATGGACATTCGCATGACCATAAGGAGGTGCTTCTAAATGATAAGTCATTCAGTTTAATAGTTAGCAAATACAGCAAGCAATGAAACTTAATGTGCACCAGTTAGAAAAGTACTAATGCAAATAAAAGATATTTGAATTTTCAATTCATACTCGAAAATCCACACTCATAAAGTCCTCTAGACTACTCTGTAAAGTCAATCCACTTAAACAGGTCCCTTGAACTTGCAATAGAATAAAACTAAAAACTTTATTGACCATTGTTACTTGAAATATAAAACTAATATTAGATCCTGATCTAAGGCATATCTGAGATCATTCATTAATTATATTCTAAATAATTAATTATATTCTAAATAACATACATAATCACAGGCTGGTATCGAAAGATTTGTTCGCTGTGACGGAGCATGCTATTTTTCATAAAAACACTAAGAATGCTTCACGATTTATTTTTTAACTCATATGTATCGTTATATCAAAGATAATTACTTACTTCATGCAATGGATATATCATTTGCGTGTAACCTTCACTACTGTTTGAAGTCCAATAACGCTAGGAGTAAAATCTATTGAAAACGGCGCCAGAGTATCAAACTCTAAAATGAACCATTTCTTTTTTAACTTTTTAATGGCATGATATAGTGACACGATAATTTATTTATTTATTTATTTATTTATTTTCGTCTCACAGCAGATTTATTTTACAGATACTAATAGTACTAAAATGTCATAATAAAAACACTGCCCCAGCCAGTGCGGCTTATGAGAGACGTTTCATACATGTATATTAGAAGTATTGCACATATAGTTATGTCAAATGACTGTCGATCAATAATTTGTCACATAGGCTAAATCATTGCCCATATAGCATAAGATACAATGTAGTAGTTTCTAAAAAATAAATAAATACATTAATATCTACTAACTACATAATCTTTGTTTATCACATATTTAATAATATATACATATATTTTCAGCATATCTCTGAATGTATTAATGAGATATTAATGCATTGGGTCTTTCTAATTTTTTTTATAAAAAATAATATTAATATTTTTTGTCCGCTGTGACGGAGCATTCTCGCAGTTCACATTTGCAACTGCTCTGTCACAGCGGACAAAAAAATTAAACATTATTTTTTATAAAAGAATTAAAAAGACCAAATACATCAACATCTCATTTATACCTTCATAGTTATGCTGAAACCATGTGTAAATATTATCGTGTCACTATATCGTGCCATTAGAAAGTTAAACAAGAAATGGTACATTTTGAAGTATGATACTCCGGCGCCATTTTCAATAGCTTTTCTTCCCAGCGTAATTGGACTTCAAACAGAAGTGAAAGTTACCCGCAAATGATATATCCATTGCATGGAGTAAGTAATTTTGTATGGTATAACGAAAGATATGAGTTAAAAAATAAATCGTGAAGTATTCTTAGTGTTTTTGTAAAAAATAGCATGCTCCGTCACAGCGGACAAATATTTCGATACCAGCCTGTGATAATATAATAATAATGTTAATGTTAATACATTAACATACAAAATGTCACCACAATTTGTTACAGACACCAACCGCCGATCATCAACCACCGTCACAAAAACAGAGACCATAACAATATGTCACTACTTTTTGGTGGTGACATAAAAATACTACATTATGCATAATAAGTTCCTTTAATGTATATTAATGCAAATGAAGGTAAAAAGAATGATGCTATGTACACCAGAGTTTTAATTTACCATTGGAAAGGTGAATAAGTAAGGAATGAAAATCTTATTACAGAATCTTGCTGATGAATAACTTTACATAAAAAATCAATTATAGAAGAATGTTTGTCAAACGGGGTTTATTTCATAAAACATCTTTTGGAGAAGTAAAAATTCTCACATTTCCAATGGATTTACTGAAACCTTGTGGCAAATTGGGGCATGAAGCTTAATGAAGCTTCTTTGGGGCTCTTGTTTGCTAGTAGAAAGTAAAAGGGACTTGGTTCTTAGAAAACTGTTCCATAAAAGATGTAAACTAGACAACATCAACGCCTTTTTACAAACAAAGTATATAGCACATATCGAATATGAACAAAATCGCTCTATTACTTTTTAACTGTTGTAAAAAAAAAGTAGAATGACACATGTAAAAATGGTGGCCATTTTTCAAAATGGACACCTACTCCCCAAAGTGTCATTAGACAGTGTGCCATGTTTATAGTATTCACATATCAAACATGAACAAAATCGCCCCACTACTTTTCGAGTTATAATAAAAAACCTAAAAATGGCAGCCATTTTTCAAAATGGCCGCATACCACCAAAGTGTCATTAGACAGTGTGGCATGCTTATGAGTATTCACATATCAAATATGAACAAAATCGTTACTCCTCTACTACCTTCCGAGTTATAGTAAAAACGTAAAATGACACACATAAAATACATTTTTAAACGAGTGGCCATTTTGAAAATCTGCTTTCGAGCAGAACTTCTACCCCCATAGGGCATATGTGTACAAAATATGAACAAAATAGGGCCAACGGTATTTGTGTTATCGCCCAAACAGACTGATGGACGGACGGAGGCGTTCCCTATATCCCTCCAAACTTTGTTCAATGGGATAAATATAGAGGTGTTCAATCAGATTAGGTTTGACTGTATGACATGAATTATGCAACAGATAATATCAATCGACAAGAAAATGCCATGCCATATACTTATATGACTACAAAAGGGATCTTGTTCCCCTGGATGTACAAAAATATACTTTCCTGTACAGATATTACATGTTAATTAAATCCCCCGTTGTGCTTCAAGGGTGCTTGTATACAGCAAAAATGGGTGTGAAAGTTAATTAACATCGCCACAAGACGTCAATTACTTTTAACAAATCCCCTTGTCTACAGAATCAGCGATAGTGTCACAATGTTGCTTTAAATTAGATTAAGAGTTTTACATTACTGTACTGAGCTTTCTAGCTGTCTCAAATAGGATAATTATGGTGAAAATAATATTCTCTTTTTCTCCAGGATGTACACAGCTGATTAGAAAAATGAGACCTTCCCAAAGGATTTGAACACAACACTGTTATACCTTCATTTTGCAACTGAGTTATGACAGAGGAGATTATAAGATATCTCAATATAACAATAAATTAACCATGCATCATTACTTGAGTATCCCAAATGATTTTTTGTAAATGTTATCAACAAAAACCAATCAGTTAGGATGGACATGCTTGTCTGATTACTGGTAACGATGCAGTTTGTAATAATAATATTTTAAAAATCGACTTCTTTGACCTCAAAATTCTGAAAAATAAAGATAAGTGAAAGAAGGTCTTTTATCAATAAGATTCATAAGGAATCTGATTGTTATCCCATGTATGTGTGAATCCATGGTAACACATGATGTCGTACCCCAACTATTCAGTTAAATGACAACTTGTTGATTTTGAGAGTATTTCAGCCTTGGTGAATTCAAACAAATTCCTAAAATCACAGTACAGTAAAACTTGTGTATAGTGAACATTTTTTTGCCAAGAAAAAACGTTCACTGTATGAAGGTGTTCACTAGAGAGAGGGTAATTTATACAGAAGTCAGTGGACTATGTGCGTAGGAAGGGTGTCCACTAGGGACAGGTGTTCACTAGAGAGAGGTGTTCACTAAGACAGGTTTTACTGTATCTATTTTAGATTTCTGGATGGACTAGAAAGAACAAATGAAAATTATTGTTTTTGCACCAAACAAGTCATGGCATTGGCTTTTCTTAAACATAACTATGTAAGCATATTCGATAATGCAAATGTGGCTGTCTCACTCAGGACTGACAAGTAAGAACATGAAAGTACAACGTAACTGATTGGAATAACTAAATGCAATATTCCAGGATTAGCTGTATCCTACTTAGGCAAACATGAAGACTCTTCCATTTACACCTTGTCAACTTTTTCCTAATTTATGCTTTCCATATTTTATCCCGTTATATACCTGAGATCATGCATTTTTCCTCATTCATATAATCTGTAACGAGGTACAGAGTGAACAATATCGTACCAAAAAATTTGAAAAAGACAACCTTAAATACCAAACAGACTCAAAAATGGTTTTAGATTTTCATACTAGGAAACATCTCTGAAAACTTCAAATTAATCCACCAAGTGATTAGTCTTGAAACATGCATGTCAGGAAAAGTAAGACACCACCACCTGCCCAACATGCTGACAACAATATTGTACCCTTTTCTATAGAAAGCATTACATTGCAATGAAGCAAAATCTTCTACTTACATGTGATCTGTTCTATATGTAAATGAGTGAAGCATTGGTTCAATGTTGATTAAACGCTATACATTAAGGTATATTTTTCAGATACATCGATCAACTTGACACTGGATTTATCTTTTATTATTTTATTATCACATTTATTTTGAACATAGGGCAACTTGTTCTTGTAAAAGTTTGATTTGGATGATATTTCATATTTTATAATGTCATGTCAGAGTTAGGTCACGTTTGCTGTCATAATTTGATAAATGACTTTTTTAATCACAAAATTACAAAACCCGATTTTGTAAAAAAACACTCCGCTTTGATGTTTTATTGAAATTCCTTACCTTTTAAGTGCTCAAGTGACTAGGGTTTAACATATTTCCGATAAACATACTATAAATTAGTTTCTTTCGTGTCAGGTAAAATTTCAGACTGGTTTATTCTGACCAAACTGCCGCGGAAATAACTATTTTCTCTTTTATACAGGTGAAAATCTTCCAAAACTGTGTGTACCATACATCAAACTTAAACAAAAGATCTTAAAATGATTTTTTCAGAAAGGTTGACATAACTTTGCATTGGAAATTCAACAGGGTTCACTTTGACATTGCATCATAATGTCTAGTGAATAAAAATGATATGTAAAGATGGATACCTGATTTAACCAATTGTCAATGATCTTAAACAATGAAGACAAAATAGATGATAAAAATACTGAAAAGTACCTTAAGTCTAATTAATCCAATTAGGAATGAGAATATATATATGATTTCCAATAAAAAATTATATGTAAAATATATGGACATAGATGTTGCTATTTGGCAGTTTCTGATGAAATTCTAAATTAAAATATTTTCATTCTGATGAATCCAACTTTAAGATCCTGAATCCCCATCAGCTAGTGAGCTTCCCTCTGACTATAAAGAAAGTTTTACAGATCTTATCAATCTTAAATGAAATATTCATGCTATTTTATGGATGTTTCAAATGTTTTAATAAACAGAAAATGTAGTGCCATGATTTCTAACTACAAATTCTGATTGGACATTAGATTCTGATTGGATTAGACTAGATCAAGGAATCATCACTTATATAAATAGTATTATTGAAGTTAAGCTCTGGTAAGGGTATTAATAAATGAGGAATACCTTGATGATTGCCTAGAAATACTTATATTGAACTATTTGTGGGGATGCACATTCACAACCAGAGCATTCCTAAATTCCCAGGGGTTTGAATCAAATTTCCTGGGAAAGTTGCAACTCACAAAATTAAATCAACAGTTAAAGGTTTTTTTTTCATTTAGTAAAACAAATTGAGATCCCGAATCAATAATGCTTTGTAATGAAACCAATTTATTGTATCATTGTACTATTGTAATGACTTGGTGGTATGACTGAAATGTTCCATAATTTTGTACATTAGTGAAGTAATGTCTTGGACACATTTTCTTCATATGCAAGATCATTGTTTGAGAACTGGATTTTTCCTCTAATAAACTGAATGTACGTACACTTTTCATCTTCCCTATTCTAGCTGTATTTGGCACTATTTGTACATAGTTTGTTCACACTGTTTGTGAGAAAAAACAATGCATTTGTTGCCAGGATTCGTTGTTGAATCGCGAATACAAATTCGCGAATCTCAGACTCATGGAATAATTTGCAAAATCTGAACTTTTAATCGACAAATTCTATAACACCTTGGCGAGACAATTCGATGACTACGTGAGTACTTATCTACACCACTTATTCTTTTCTTTTTCCAATTTTAACACTTGCTGCATACATATTTCATGAATTCGATTTTTAGATATTGCTGCAAAATAGTTTATCCTTTATATATTTGATTTTCAAAATAGAAGCAGGACTTTGAAAAATAATCCCAGTAATATGGTCTGCCAGTCAGGATATATGTGATAATGTGATTTGCATGTTTTATTAAAATAAAACAATCTCAGATTCCTTTACCTGGGGAGTAAATAACATAGCTAATTAGATTCTTGAATTATTCGAGTAAGTCATTATAGCCTGAGTCCAACTTCATTTACATTTGCTCAGAAATCATTGAGCATGTACATACACCATCTATTCAATAAATTTTTTCTTAGAAAAGTAAAGTTTAAGAAAGTAAAATCTGTAATCAACAGTATTTCTGCTTTTTTAGAAAGATGATGGGAGAATAGAATAAAAATGCTCACTTTCTACTTTACTTAAAAATGAATGGCAAATGGGCCTATTTTATGTTATTTGAAATAGAACAGGGGACACACAACTTATTAATCCTTCCGCGAGTGGGAAGACGAATAGATGGCATTTTAAAAACAAGAATATAGTCCAATTATTGTAATTATATTAGCACCACCAGTGGTTGGATTTTGGTAGTGAATGAAAAAGTGTATGTATGGACCAACTCCAACACATGATTTGATGTGATTGAGGTGCATTTTCTTTAAGAAATTTGACCTTTTTGACCTGCCTCCATCTGTCAAAATCAGAGTGACAATTTTTGACATTTTATATAGATGGCGTATTCAACAGGTGAGATCTTTTGATTTTCGTGGGGAGTTTTGGTTCAAACTTTCTTGACTGACAGAGGACATACTGGGGTATGATGGCACGATAGCAAAACATGTCCTAGTTTTCTTTGAAGGACAAATCATTTAGAAGGGAATACACATGTTTTAGCATTTGGTTGTGTTAGGCCACATGAGAAATATGTGCTAGGTATTTTGTTATCAAAACAAGTTTGATTGTATCTAATTTTATTGATCATATCAAGTCTTTTCAGTTGATTAATGCATTGAGGGAAGAATGCTTGACAGACGCAGATACCAGATTCAAACATTTGATGCACATATATCCAGGACGTTTTATCAATGAGAACATATGGCCTTGACAACAGCAAAAATTTTGTTTCATCTATATGTTTTTAATTTTTTATGCAGGCAGATCTGGCCAGAAAATGATTCAATAAGGGACATTGAGTAAACATACTTGTTATACATTTTTGGAATGCTTATGAAGAAATACGTCTGAATTTTTCCTATAAGGTTGCTATGGTAATGGCATCAGTGTCCTAAACCACGCCTAAAGAGTAAATTATGAAATCTGACATCTCATGACCTGTTTCCCCAATTTTGATGAAATTTGCACCAAATAAAAGGTATTGAAAAATTTAAATGAGAAATGTATTAAATGAGCAAATTAGCAATTAGAATATATGTCCTGCTGTTATTTCCCGTTAAGCCCACTAAATAAGAGATAAATAAGAATAAATCCTCTGGACACACAGTATTAAAGGAGGGTAGGTGATGTCCGCCAAGGGAATGTAGATGAAAATATTGAGATGATATTATAACCAATGTATTTTTGGATTTTTTGGTGATGTCCGCCAATGGGATGTAGATGAAAATATTGAGATGATATAACCAATGTATTTTTTGATATCAACCTGAGTATTCAAAGTGTGAACTTTTGTATTCATGTAACTTTAATCATTAATATTGACGTGATTATGGGATAAATAATGTTACATACCAATGCTCTAAGGTGTATTATCTCATGCCTCATTCTCTGTAAACAAGATGCCTGGGCCTGGTACGCTTCTAGGTTCTTGTTTCTCCTACAAGTCAATTACAAATATTTATAGCTTTCTTTTCTTGAAAGTGATCAATGAAAAATATATTGAAGGAATGTAGACCAAAGAAAATGGTGTATTATTTGGCCAATATCAATGTATGTAAACATTTAAATGCGTAGAGTAAATGTAAAAGACTAAGATTCCAAGTAAAAGTATCAAAATTTGAAGACCTCATAAAGTGAAGTCTTTTAGCAATATTCCCAACAGTTCATTACGTCTTCAGGTTTTATTGTAAAAGAAAATTTCTTTTTAATATTAGCTAAACTACTCACCATGAAGCAAGTTCTTTCTCCATTGCTACAATATCAAGAGCGGGGTCTGACTTGCCTAAAATACTCTGACCTGGAAATGGAACAGGTGAGAGCATAAAAAAATATAAAACTGATCTTATATAATCAAGTTAGTTGATTTTTATTTACGTTGCAATCACAACTTACCACAAACCAGCATTGTGTCCAATATTTTACCAACATCTCAAAAGTGCAACTTTTGCCCCTGAATGTATGGCTAAAAATAACAGCTTTTTCCGAGATTAGATATATAAGTCTTACAGGTATAAGAGATATATTAAAGGAGCACAAAAGACTAGAGATAAGTTGTAAGTAACTTTTAAAACATTTTAAAATGTAAAAGTATCTCTTGGTCTCAACATAAGATTCCATGTCAAGGTTATTTCCTACAAAGTCCAATACTGTAATTGTGACTTTAATCTAGGGTAATGCTTCAGGCGAAAAACTGAAAAAGGACATATTTGGACATGTCTGCATCGTAAATCTTCAATTACTTCCATATTTTCTCAGAAATTTCAGTGCATCATTTAGATACTGAAATAACAATCATGAGGGTGACTTTGACATTGCTTTTTGAAAACATTGCTCCCAACATTTTACACTCTCTAGTCTTTACTGCCACTTTAAGTAATCAAAATGTGATTATGCTACATACCTGTGAAAGGAGGCATGTAACACATTAAAGTGCAGTTTGTGTACTGGTCTGCTAACTCACTGGAAATACAACATATACAATATATTTAATAACCACTTTTCTAATTTGTAAACTTTTAAACAATGTATATATAACATAGTAACTATGTAAACATTGCTCTGCACTTTCCTTCTGTCACAGCTTAAACATAATATGCATATAAAGTTGCCAACTTAATGAACTAATCAAATACCAGTAAAAGTTTAAAGGCATATTTTTTTATCTTAATAATAAATTATTCAAAATTAGATAAATAGACTTCCAAATAAACACTTGAGATAATCTAATAAAAACAGCCAATAATAAGTTTAATTCTGTTGAAAACATTGATTTTACTTTTACATTATCAATGATAAGTTTTTGGTTTTTAGTGAAAAGGGGTCAAAAAGGTTTGGTGTCTATTAATGAACTGACATGATCTAAATACGACACACATACCTCCATTTACTATTAAGAACTACATCATCTGTAAAACCATAGCGCTCAAAGAAATCAATGGCGGAGTTATCAGCATGCACCACAATGACATCATACTGCCCAACAACTTGAGGATTCTTTAATTGCTGAAAATGATTGAACCAATGAATAAATGTTTTTTGATCTGAGATTAAAATAATAAAAAGCACTGTATTTCAAAATTGTAGAAATGTTGTTAAAGAGTGAACATCCTTTTGTATTGAATAAAACATAACACAGGTACTATCCAGGCCTCAGGATTCTATGTACTTGCTCAGCAGTTTCCTAGCTGAGGCAAGTGGTTATGTGTATAAGTGAACTTCGTAGTATCATCAGCTTAACCAGGAGTCTAAAATGCTTATTGCATATTGAGTTCTGGACAGTACCTGTGATATATTAGGTATTCATACTTACTGATAATAAATATCTGCCTATTCCCCATTTTTGGTAACGTTTCCTCACAGCTATTACAGTTAAATGATTGACTTTTTCACTACGTTTCCTGGAAAAAAAGAAAAATATGCTGTTACATGTTTTATGATATCAAAAATAATATGTGACACTTAAAAATATTTTTGTCATAAAATATTTGCCAAGCTTTTTCCAAAATGTTTTATGACCTTTATGTTAAAACATAATAAAGATAAAATATACAAATTTTTCAAAATAAAGTAGGTACAATAATTTGTTTCCCTGAACTGGAAGACTGTCCTATCAACAAATGCTGAAATATGAACACCACATAAATGAACACCTATGGAGACCAGGTCAAAGTGTCTGATGTTATCCAAAAATATAAATTACACATCGGACTCCCACCAAATAATAAACTTGAGCATTTATTGATTTTGTGTTTTAATGATGAAAACTAATGACTTTGAGGCTATATTGACTCATACTATAATGATTTGTCCTCTTAGACAGACCAGATAGTGTTCATATTACAGTTAAACTGCTCTATCAATCTTACCCACAAAATGCCTTTTCAAAGGTAGCAGCAGCCACAACCCTGTTTTCTATCCCTACATGTTTGCTAGTGAAAGGGCCAACATGGTTGTCTCTGACTTGACGACGTTCACGCACACATTCCAGAAATGTATTGATGCCCTTACTGAAATCTTCTTCATCATCTTCACTGAAAAAAAATCATTAATAAAAATAGGATTTTGTAGACTTTGTGCACTTCATATAAATAAGTAAAGGAAGGTAACGTACAGTGAAGGATAAAGTGTAAACAATTCAAAATTAAATTTTTTTCTATATTCTCAATATTTTATGTCATATTCACATTTTCTGAATTCTTTCAATGAATCCCAAATATGGCACATTGCTTATCATTTATAAATTACTAAATAGTTTTGTAGGGTGAATTAAAATCATTTCCTGTTTTGTTTTCAAATTGTTCCCCATCTCACCTGTCATCATCTTCATCCTCGTCTTCAGTATCACTATAACAATCAGCAAACTTGCACGGTTTAGTTTCTTCAGGCTCAAGAATGTCAGAGCCTTTATCATTGACAGCATCTTCTATATCCTGCATTATCTCAGCAGCTATATCTTCATATGTTATCAGATCATTATCAGTAGAGGTATTTTCATTTTGCTTTACTTGAGCGTTGAGATCTTTGGTGATTTGACTAGTAGGTGTTTCCTCTGTGGAGGATGCAGTTTGAGGGGTTGGGGTGGTCACTGGGGATTGGGATTGATTATTGTCTTCAAGGTCAATCACTTTAATGTCTTCATTGCTTTGTAGTGGTGTTGTTTCATTTGGAATGCTTTTTGGTGATGGTGCTTCAGTGTTTTTTGCTTTTTTAGCTCGTTTTCTTTCAAACTCCTCCAAAACATCTAGAAAATATAAAATGTTAAGTGTGTAGGGCATTTCAAAAGAGTTTCGAATTATGGGTGTGTGTACAAAAAATTCAATATTGATGTTTAAATGATTTTCCATTGGATCAGGTGGTTGAGTTCAGATTCAAAAAATGGGACAAGGAGCTCATGAATGGTCCATGGAGAGTCCAAAAGCTTTTTCTCAAGGAATATATAGGTTTTAGTAATACATTGTGTGTATTAGTTCGTAACTATAAAATGCTCATTATCTTTAATACAGATATTCCCTTGACATTCTTCACATCATCCTTAATAGATTGCAAAGGTGGTGCAGGCAATTATAAGGGAGTAGGAGCTAATAATAGGAATATTTACAAGTTCATATCACAGTAACTATAATGAAGTGAAAATGTTATCTTTGTAAATCACTGTACCTTTAGTATCACGTAGTAGGATAGCTGTTCTTGCCCATTTCTCGCAGACAGTTCCATATAAGACCTCAGGTGTCATCTCACTCAACGAAACATCATACAGGCCTATCACAGCATGCAACAGCTCTCTGTTAGATACCTAAATGTAAAACATTTATACCTTTATCATTTTCATACATGCAAAGGTAAATGGGAGTTTTACACCAGTTTCGCAAAGTTTATTCAGTCATTGTATATTGTGTAAGATTGGTAAAATGTAAAACCTGCATAGTAGTAGAATAGTAGTAGGGAATGGGACTGGACAATCACACATAATACTGAGGGATTTTAAGCATTCAATTCTTAAGTAGGGCTCCCTGGCACCACATTCAAATGTTACAAGTTGTATATAACTATTAAAGTGATTTTCACTCCTTTTCAAAGCCTCAATACAGCATGTTGCAGTGCATTTATAATACTGTTTTTACTATTGTAGTGGATACCCATCTTTCATTCCATATAAAGAAAACAGAAATTGATAAAATATTGACGGAGTGTGAGCTGTTACAATGAACCCCACTTTAAACAAGAATGTTTCGTTCAGTGGGGGGCCCACCTTAATTCAATTACAATAACACTGACGTTTTTAGGCTTATTTCTTAAAAGCATGATGCGCTATTATTATCATATAGTTGTATTAATATGAGGAATTGATTGCAATATGATAGAATGTTTATTGCACTCTAGTTATCCAATAACAGTTAGGGGGTTTCTCGAAAGCTATCGTTCTTAGGGTAATGACATCACATTACATTGGATTTCCCAAAAAGCAGGCCACGAGTATGACAACATCAATATGCGTTAGGTAATATGCAGACAATCATTGTGATAGTTGTTTTGGGGAATTCCTTACAATGGCCCAATACTTTCACTTTCGTTATTAGAGCACTTTCACATTTGATTATCTAAGCGAAAGCGTAGTTATTGCATTTAATTGATGAAATTGAATTTAATTGATGGTATTCTTAAAAAAACTCATTTTTATCGTTTTTCAAGCTCTTGATAGTTTTATACATCCTTTAAGCTAATGTTAAAACAAGACTTGACTCTAAAGGTAGATATTCTAGCTGTAAGCTGCTGCCCCATCCACAGGAATTCGTCTAGAGTCCATTTCACTGCTTCATTGCGTCAGTAGAACGGCAAAAATAAGAAATTGGGAGACCATTGTGCAATAATATATGGAAAAGTATATTCATAGAGTCAGTACGTCTATTTCCAAACACCCCCATCAAAAAATGTAGTTAGCTTGGCTGTACTGCACATCTATGCTATGATTCTATATATATTATGTGTATTATCCACTGTAGAATGCATTTGCAGAAAAAATTACGAAAAATTGTAAAAAATATCTGGGTTATTCCATTTTTACTACAAGGTATTTTAGGGGGGTAATTCCGAACAGGAGTTATTTTGGGGGGTAAATCCGAACACTTGCATGGGGGTAATTCCAAACACTTAACTTAAACTTTATTGTTTTAATTATTAGATTGATGGTATATCATTATATGATACCCTTAACTTATGATACTGGATCCTGTCACCCCTGCATATCAAGAAACCCAAATTTAAATCATTTATTACTGACATCTATTTATTTAAACGCACAGAGTTTTTGGGGGTAATTCCAAACACTAGCATGGGGGTAATTCCGAACACCTAAATCATCATAATTGATTATTTTATTGTAAGATTGTTGGTATACATCATTATATTGTATCTTTCAGGCTATAAATATTATGTAGAGGTAGTAGAGGTACTATTATTCAATTCAATGATCTGCTTGCCATTATTTGGAACCCGTTCGTGTTTACCCCCCTGTTTGGATTTGGACGTATTGACTCTAATGTACATGAATGACATTTGTATATTTCAGATTTTTTAGTTTTTTTGTGCATTGAATAACCCTGTGCCGTCTTGTAATTTGAAGAATTTCATACAATTCCATACCCGTGCGGTGATAGGACCATTTCCCCTATATAAGTCTTATTGCAAAATGATATTTTGATTTCTTATTTTTTAGCTTTTACTGACGCAGTTAAACAATGAAATGGACTCTAGAAAGAAAATGAAGTCAATAGAGCAAGCATAAAAAAGTATAAATTAAATTATCCTCAAACAACGTGCATACCCCTTCAATGACTTCCGCCGATAATTTTGAGCCTAGCAATCTTCGGAAATCAACGAGCAGCGGCGAAATTCTAACACATTTTCCTTTCTTGTCTCGAAATTCCTGTTTCCCAGCAAATTGTGCACCCTTCACAAACTCTCCGTCTTCCTCGATATCTAATGCATCGTGGAGATTCATTTCGGCAACATTTCCTCCTGTAGTATTGAAGTAATTGTCGATATTAGTTTGAAAAACTGGAGAAACTGGTGCAGTTATGGACGCCATTTTTCAACAAACCTGTCCCGCGGTTAAAAAAAGGAAGAGCTCTTATTGGTCAATTTGTTTGTTTGTAAACAGAAGCACGTGTTTAATTTGACGGCAATGTTCTGATATAAATGGATCCACAGTGATTCTGAAGTCCTATCAACAGATAGATAATGCTGGATGTTTGTTAGTTTTGAAATGAGCATAGAGATAAGTTTTGTAATACTGATTTAGTTAATACAAGTTGAAGAATAGTGAGCTTTGGCATTCTCCAAGATGGTAACTCATTGTTTTATTTTTTCATTTATTTATTGCTCTCAGTGGCACATGGGTTGTGAGCCATGGTTGCGATAGCCAAGTGCACCATATCATATAAATATAACAAACTGAAATATACATTCAGATAATGACAATCAGGCCCGTAGCCAGGATTTGCCAAGGGGACGTTCACTTTTTGAAAAATTCCAGGGGGGGCTTCACTTGTGACAATTTTGATCAAAAAATGGCCAAAATCACTTAAAAAGTGCTCAGAATGAGCATGACTTTGAAAGATTTTTTGGCCAGGGAGGTGGGGGGGGGAATCCCCTGGCTACAGGCCTGACAATACATTGTAAGCATATGATCCATATATCTTGTCTATAAAAATAAAAATTGATCTTTCCCCAATTGATTACTGAAACTATCTCCCAAACCCATTTTGCTTTGCAGTCAGGGCTTAAAGCTGAGAATTCTGCTGCTTTAAATAACATATAGATGCAACTTTGTTGAAATAGGTCGTTCAATGGTTTGTCAATGGTTTATTGCTGAGACATAAATAGTGAATGTCAAGCTTTATCATTCAAGTCTTTGCCTTGAATATGTTTTCTTTTGAAATATTGTGTTACCATGGTGTAGTGGCTACCACTACATACCATGGTGTAGTGCCCATCACAATTCAATTCAATTCACAAGAAAACAAACAAATGTACTTTGTAACATCAATATATATTTTGAACTAATCTAAAATTCTACAAAATAACAAAAACAATTTACAGGTTGTTCAATAAGTAAAGCTAATTCTGCTCTAAAAATATTTTGCATTGAATATTTATAGCCAAGTTTTTATTGGTTATGATTTGCTCCGTTGAACCCTACTTCAAGTTACTATGACAACCACTACAGTGCCAAATATCAACATACTTTTGCCAACCTTTCAGGATGGTTTGTGAAATGCATAATGCTACTGCTATGTAAATTTGATATAGATATTGCAAAATAAAAGTTTTAAAGCAAAATTAGCTTTACTTATTGAGCTAAACTGTACAATCATCCTTTCAAATAAAAAAAAATATCCCAATGAAGTACTTCAAAATAGCTTTGTTCCTATTTGCAATCTATTTTTAAATAAGTGAATATAGTACTAAAGGCATACTTTTACAAAAAACATGCATGGACGGATGACAGTACATATAATGGATATATTTTGGGAATTTTGATTCTGAGAACTTGTGAGGGAAGACAAATAATTTGTGGAAAGTAAATCTAAACCAATCAGCACTTAGATCAATTGATTTTATGATGTCTATTCATTGTTGTTGATGCTTCATACTGAATGCACAATACAGAATTCCTATATTACAACTCTAAACATAAAATCAAGCTTTTTATATAAAAAAGAACTTGTCATAATTATGTATAATATATACATGTAGATTAAAAATAAAATGTAAGATAAACTTCACAGAGTGTGCAGTAAACTGTCACTGTGTATATACATGTAGGAATAAAGTGTATACTGTATAGATAAAATATTGCAACAATGTTGGACGGCACAGCTCTTTAAGAAACATAAGTGCATTTTATGGAAAAAGTAAGCACTGGAACAGTTACCAGTGAACTTTAGACACGATAATAATTCCAGCCTATATACTGGTATGTAAAATCCAATTTTAACCACTTAATCTTAAAATCTTATGACACACACCATGAACTGGAATGTTTTGATCTCAAGCTTATACTTTGA